TTGACCCCCTTCCCCCCCCCCCCCCTCCCCCGACCCATCCCCTCCACCCTGCCATGCCTACAGACCTGCTTACTAAGTTACAAGTTTTTGGGTAGAGTATGTTTTGTTTGATTGTGTTAAAATGGCAAAAGACAAGCTTCTTTCTGAATGAGAAATATCTATAGTTAACTTCATTTGAAAGATTTTAGTGGTCAGCTGTCTATTTACATAATTATGTAACACATGAAAAATTGTGAATTTTGAGATAGAAAGTTTTTAAGAAAATTGTCACATACACATTGTTATTATTGCCAGGTGTGAGAAGTTACCTGAAGGAGGCTTTAATGGGGCTGATCAGAGTTCACGCTGAGGTGAACATTTTATTGTTTTATTTTCTAGATGGAAAAATGATTTTAAAAAATGATTAAAAAAATTATATAGACATTACGTTTGGAACCTAGAAGTTTGAGTAGTCACTCATTAAATTACCACTGTATTTCACTGATTTCAGAAACATAAATTATAAATAATGAAATATTTATATTTAGGGACACTAATGACAGATTGCTATTGAAAGTAATTAAAGCTCTTGCCAACTGTGCCAAATTACTGCAGGAAGATGCATAATTGTTTGAGTAAATCAAACAGTATTTGTAAATTAGTTAGATTTTGTAATCTGTTTGTGGAAAACAACATCTAATGTTTTGATATATTCCAGGTATTTGCCATATCTCCAGTATTGGTCACTGTTTGTGGAAAACAACATCTAATGTTTTGATATATTCCAGGTATTTGCCATATCTCCAGTATTGGTCACTAGAATACTGACCAGGGTCATTGTGGCGGTCAGTGAGGAGGTGGCCAGACTTATTTTATGTGTGGAAACATTTAATCTTAATGGTGCTTTACAGGTAATCTTTAATATGACATTATCTTCTTGGACAATGTTACTATATGTGAATAGTACTGTTTTTCATATTTTTTCTTAATTACAAATGGGGACTATTTCTTCCCTTTTTTCTATGAATAAAAACTCAATGATTACAGCTTCATAAAAAAACTACTTACTAGCATGAAAAATTTATTTTTCTTTGGTTAATCTTACAGCTCACTCCAGACCAATGCATGCAACCTTTTTATTAAAATTCAGAGTTGTATTTTAATACATTATTATTACCTCCCCCCAACAAAGTTATATTTTTACCTTTGTTAGTTTGGTAGTAAGCAGTCTTACTGATAGTCAAGTCATTCTGTTAGACTAGTATTATTATATAATTGCGTTCTTTTCCCCCCAGGCTCGTCTTGAGCTGATTACCCTACAGGATGCTGTTGCCTTGTACGCCACCGACGAGTCCAGGTAAAACTGGACATTTTGAAACATTTCAAATGTAGTTTTGCAGTGCAAATATACGAGGTCACCTCAGTTCTCTTTATTTCTGCCAAGTGCAGATATTTGTTGAATTTTAAATACTGTAACAGCAACATTTCTACAACATTTATGTGGATACCTTTTCAGTTGAAAATGTAGAATTTTAATCTTTATAAATAAGTTTGGTAAAGATCAAACTAGTAGCTGCCATGGAAGCCATAGAATTTAAAAAGATTTTAGTTATCACAGCAAAATGTTCTCTGTTTTAGAAACTCTAAATATTTAATTTGTATTTTGTTTCCAGTGAGGCTGTCCAGGAGGCCCTAGACTACCTCCCTGAACTGAAGTCTGAGGACAAGAGGCAAGTAGACATTAAACTGGAGACTGGTCTCACTGTAGAACTTGAACACCAGTTGGTCTTAACTGTAAAATTTAAAGTGAAAGCCATTCTAGTCTAATTTGACTCAAAAGAAGTTATTCTGGTCCACTTGATAAATGATTTTGGTCCCAATATTATCATTATTATATTAACCCGTAATTATGATGTTGCAGGGCCCATTTTGGACTGCCAATTCACATATATAAGCTCTGTTGATAACGTTAACATAAGTTGTAATAGTTATAATGGATGTAAGTTTCCACAGGAAGTCCAATAACTTGCTTAATGACTGTTACATGTTATGTTGATTGTGCCCCAGGTTCCTAGAAGATTTGATCAACAATTTTAAGACCAGGATGAAGTTCCAGCTGATGTGTTTCAAGAGTGACCCAGTGCTGAGGGGACCTGCCGCTTAGTCTGCTCTACTACGCAGAAATGACAATAGAAACAAAAGGGACCTTGACAAACAAAAAGGCAACTTCTGCTCTTACTGTATGTGTGGAATTCACTGGAATTCAGTGTTCAGTTCTGAGGGGACCCCCCGCATAGTCTGCTCTTCTACACCGTGATCACCTGTTTGAAGCTAGGAGGAATTTGCCAAACACAAAGACAACTTGCTTGACTCTTGCTATATGTATAGAATTCACTGGCTTAAGCATGCCATAAATAATAGTACTAACATATAATTAATAAATTTTTTGTAATATGCAGGTAAGTGTTATCTGCTAGAGGCCTTGAATCCCCAGAAGAAACTTATTGTTATTATTATTCACTGGATTATCTGTAAGAATTTGAAATATCATCCAATTCAATGACTCAAAACTCCAAGATTAAATTTTGAATCTGTGGACTGGCATGCAATGCATTTTTTTTTTTCACGTTTGCAATAGTGCCATGGTGCAGTATATCAACTATCGTACTTTATTCATTTGCTTCAATGAACAAATGTGTATTGAAACAGTTTGTCATTGTCGTAAAATTGCCTTTCCTGCTGCTGCATGTACATTTCAATGTAAATTCTTAAACATTTTCAAAACAAACTCATTAAATACAGATGTCATGATACTGATATGGTGCGTGCAATGTAACAGGACGTGACAAAGAAATTGTGCTGCTTTCTTATGTTGATTGTTTAACTTATAGTGAATAATAAATGTATGGAAAGATGGTTCTTCAATATTTACTTTATTATTTACACTGTCTTCAGAAAAAAAACATTTTACTTGGTTTTTCTCACAAAATAATACAGGTTGTATACTGCATCACTATTGTATAAATCAGATTCTAAAATCTTCTACATCTATCTACATATCATACAGTACTTGTTCTCAAAAGTGGTTGAATATTTTTGTTTTAATTAATGCGAAGAAAACATTCTGTGTTTACAAGTATATACAGATTTCAAAACGTTTGTCAATACACAGTCACTTCTCTGAAGCAATCAGGATCCATTTCCCTCAGTTATGAGTGATCTTTCTGTGCCCAGCCATAGTTTTTTGTAATGAGGACATATCGTTGTCATAAAAATCACCTCTTTCCAAATAATTTAAGTTCAGAAACAGACAAAAAATGTATACATTCATCATTTGCTATGAACACAGCACCTAAATGGTCAACACATCACTCTGGATTTCATGACTGAGCTGAGTTTGTAAGTTACTGAGTTTATTTTTCAGTACAGAGAGTCCACTGAATACAATGTTTTCTGGCTTTAAAGCTCCACAGGATTCAACGTTGAAGAAAAATTTGTTGGGTTTTCCACTCATGTCATATGGTGCCTCAACTGAAATGATGGATAGAATTATCTTGTGATGGCATTCCAATATAGAAATTATATCATTTTGAATGAGAATGAATCTGGTCTTTATCATTCTTTCTCTTTAATTTTAAATTTGGGAGAGAAAAAAATTTGTTAATTATTCAAATGTTTTAGACAATAAGTTTATTAAATAAAACAAACAGATTTCACCTGTACTTACACTCATCATCTGGCAACTCTGAGTATTCACTTTTTGGCCTGGAAATGAGTTTGAAAATTCATCTCAGTTATGCAACTTGTATTGAAGTATTATATAAACTTAGATGACATTAACAATTCTCTTTTCTTCAAATAATATACACCACTAAGTTTGAATGAGGATTGGTATAATTTAAATGAAGTGTCACTGCAGAAAATTCTAGAAACAGGTAGTAAATTAAGACTTAACTTACACAGTACCATGTTGTTAAACAAAAAGTATTATTTTTTTACTTTATACCAAATTTACTGCTGATTTTTTCCAAAGATTGTATTGGTCAAACTTATCAATACATTTGGCAAATAAATTTTGAAAACATGTAAGCATCGTTTGTGTCCAGCAACGTACCACTCCTCAGGTTTGGGATAGTCTGTGTGGCGTAGGGCGTTATCTGGGTCATATTCAAACGCCACTCCACTGGTTGGATTCCACTTAGCATGCTCCTTGGCAAATCCCTTCCTGGCAAACGCTCGTAACTTCAACTCCTGTCCCTTGCGTAGCTTTACTATCAGGATATCTGGAAAAGATTGGAAATTGTCACAAATATGTTCATAGAGCTTTGTTTTCACTATTTTTTTAGTTAAAGGCATAATAACTCTTTGTATGAGACCTATATTTCACAATAATAACCTTGTGAATAACTCATAGAAATATAATATATTCTGTTTTACCACAAAAACAGCAGTTATAGCTTTTATTCTGATATTTGAACTTGGCTTTAGACCACGTGACCTCCATTGATGTCTATACTCTGTTAAAATCTCTTAAGAGATTTTAACAAAAAACCAAACTTTTTAGAAAAAAACCAGGGACTAACTTTGAATGTAAAAATGGATTCATTAACCATTGGTAAGTATGGGAAAATTGTTGTTTACTCCAGGAAAATTCATTTTTTGGCCGAAACGAAGAGTTATTATTGCTTTAATATGACATAAACAAATGAAAATCATAAATATACTTCCTCTGTTGTCTTGGACTTAATAAAATTTCAATTCCAATGCTAACTGCAAATTGATTTCTTACATTTTTCCCCTTTTTCTGTTTTTACCAAATTGAAGAAAAACATTGCTGAAATGATTTTCCTTGGGATTTTAAACTGTGTTCATTTTCTGGCCATATAACATGCTACTTATGTCAGACCCTTAGCCAGGGTTGGGTTCGGGGGTTCAAAAGAACAACCCTTTTTGCTGGGAAAAGGTCCACTCTGGGTACGATTTGATCTATGCACTTGAGGATTTTATGGTAAAAGGTCCACTTTTTCAGAAAACGAACCCCCCCCCTCTAAAATTGCTGGCTACGGGCCTGTATGTGATGACTGTGCTGATGAATTCTTCCTCACCATCTGTTTCACCATATCCTTCTTCCTCTCTGTGTTTGGATGTCACCTGAAATGAGTGGGAACATTTCCACCATGAGTGCATACTGTCAAAAATCTGACTGTCCTTAATTTATAATATGATACTGACTGACAAAATTTTGGGGGACTGGTAGAAAAGTGTATCCAGCAAGTTCAAGGGACTACCAACAAGTTTAAGAGCAGCTTTATTGAATTTACAGTCAGTCTGGCAAAAATCCTTCAGGCAATTTTTTTATAATTGCCAGTTTGAATGTCCAACATTCTGAAAAAATGTATAGCATGTCTGAATATCTACGTAAACTTTCTTCACCTGTCAGTGAGATAACTGCAAATATTTATTATAATATAACTTATGTCCAATGCTTGTAAAATAAGACATCTATATTCGGCCAACAAAACCTTTAGCAAAGAAGATAACAACTGATCACAATAGCATTGGATATTGTTGTAAAATTTCATTCTTGCAAAACAATGGTATGTTAATTGTTGGGTATTGGATAAAGAATGGTCATCTTCCTTACATAACAAATCATTTCATTGTGACATCATCAAATTTAAAACAACAGAGAAACCTTTGTGTAACATTTGACAACACATGACAATACAGTTGTGACTTCACAGCCAATTGTCATGGTAACCAAGTGTCACCACGACATCCTCACAGTTGGTGACCTAGACAAAGGATGCGATGCTCTCATTGAGTGTTCCTGGTTACAGAGTCCCAGACATGGAACAAAGTTTTAATCCCTTTAGCCACAGTATTTTATTCAGTCATACCTGGCGCCCCAGTGTACCCTCACTACAGCAGCTGTGTGTGAAGCGTATCAGGAACGGGGTGACGCTCAGGAGATTACAGCAGGTACATATACTGAGCACAGTTCTCATTTCAAGAAAACTGGGATCAATCTTGGTTAAAATTTCTTTTTATGTTTAGCGTACTTAAAAATCAGAAAATTGAAGTAATTTAAAATGTTAATATATCAACATTTTAAATTGAAGTAATTTAAAATGTTGATATATTAAAGGGAAAATGTTTAAAATCTTATGAATTTCCCCAATTTCACAGTAAAACTTTGCAATAAATGTTTAACCTAGCTATTACTTACAGCTTTTAACGTCTGAATTTTATTTTATTATATACTCCTGGGTGCAGGGTTGTTGTTTACTAGTAAACATATGGTGTTTAAAGTGAACTATCAATATTCATTTGGATAACTTTTCGNTGAGTCCAGGTAAAACTGGACATTTTGAAACATTTCAAATGTAGTTTTGCAGTGCAAATATACGAGGTCACCTCAGTTCTCTTTATTTCTGCCAAGTGCAGATATTTGTTGAATTTTAAATACTGTAACAGCAACATTTCTACAACATTTATGTGGATACCTTTTCAGTTGAAAATGTAGAATTTTAAGCTTTTGAAATAAGTTTGGTAAAGATCAAACCAGTAGCTGCCATGGAAGCCATAGAATTTAAAAAGATTTAAGTTATCACAGCAAAATGTTCTTTGTTTTAGAAACTCTAAATATTTAATTTGTATTTTGTTTCCAGTGAGGCTGTCCAGGAGGCCCTAGACTACCTCCCTGAACTGAAGTCTGAGGACAAGAGGCAAGTAGACATTTAACTGGAGACTGGTCTCACTGTAGAACTTGAACACCAGTTGGTCTTAACTGTAAAATTTAAAGTGAAAGCCATTATGGTCTAATATGACTCAAAAGAAGTTATTCTGGTCCACTTGATAAATGATTTTGGTCCCAATATTATCATTACTATATTAACCTGTAATTATGATGTTGCAGGGCCCATTTTGGACTGCCAATTCACATATATAAGCTCTGTTGATAACGTTAACATAAGTTGTAATAGTTATAATGGATGTAAGTTTCCACAGGAAGTCCAATAACTTGCTTAATGACTGTTACATGTTATGTTGATTGTGCCCCAGGTTCCTAGAAGATTTGATCAACAATTTTAAGACCAGGATGAAGTTCCAGCTGATGTGTTTCAAGAGTGACCCAGTGCTGAGGGGACCTGCCGCTTAGTCTGCTCTACTACGCAGAAATGACAATAGAAACAAAAGGGACCTTGACAAACAAAAAGGCAACTTCTGCTCTTACTGTATGTGTGGAATTCACTGGAATTCAGTGTTCAGTTCTGAGGGGACCCCCCGCATAGTCTGCTCTTCTACACCGTGATCACCTGTTTGAAACTAGGAGGAATTTGCCAAACACAAAGACAACTTGCTTGACTCTTGCTATATGTATAGAATTCACTGGCTTAAGCATGCCATAAATAATAGTACTAACATATAATAATAATAATTTTTTGTAATATGCAGGTAAGTGCTATCTGCTAGAGGCCATGAATCCCCAGAAGAAACTTATTGTTATTATTATTCACTGGATTATCTGTAAGAATATGAAATATCATCCAATTCAATTACTCAAAACTCCAAGATTAAATTTTGAATCTGTGGACTGGCATGCAACGCATTTTTTTTTTCACGTTTGCAATAGTGCCATGGTGCAGTATATCAACTATCGTACTTTATTCATTTGCTTCAGTGAACAAATGTGTATTAAAACAGTTAATGTCAGTATTGTAAAATTGCCTTTCCTGCTGCCACATGTACATTTCAATGTAAATTCTTAACCGTTTTCAAAACAAACTCATTAAATACAGATGTCATGATACTGATATGGTGCGTACAATATAACAGGATGTGACAAAGAAATTGTGCTGCTTTCTTATGTTGATTGTTTAACTTATAGTGAATAATAAATGTATGGAAAGATGGTTCTTCAATATTTTCTTTATTATTTACACTGTCTTTAGAAAAAAATATTTTACTTAGTTTTTCTCACAAAATAATACAGGTTGTATACTGCATCACTATTGTATAAATCAGATTCTAAAATCTTCTACATCTATCTACATATCATACAGTACTTGTTCTCAAAAGTGGTTGAATATTTTTGTTTTAATTAATGTGAAGAAAAAATTCTGTGTTTACAAGTATTTACAGTTTCACAAGATTTGTCAATACACAGTAACTTCTCTGAAGCAATCGGGGTCCATTTCCCTCAGTTACAAGTGAACTATCTGTGACCAGTGGTTTTTGTAATGAGGACATAACATAGTCATAATTCACCAGAAAGTTCAGAAACAATAAAAAGTATTATACATTCATCTTTCGCTGTCAACACAGCATCTAAATTGTCAACACATCACTCTGGATTTCATGACTGAGCTGAGTTTGTAAATTACTGAGTTTATTTTTCAGTACAGAGAGTCCACTGAATACAATGTTTTCTGGTTTTAAAGCTCCGCAGGATTCAACATTGAAGAAAAATTTGTTGGGTTTTCCACTCATGTCGTATGGTGCCTCAACTGAAATGATGTACAGAATTTTCATGTAGTGGCACTTCAATATAGAACTTAATTATCATGTAATGGCATTTCAATATAGAATTTAAATGATTTTTTTGAATGAGAATGGATATGGTCTTTTCTTTAGTTTTACAGTGGGGAGAAAAAGGACACTTTAAATTATTCAAATGTATTAAGTGATAAGCCTAAATAAAATATATTAAACAGATGTGACCTGTACTTACACTCATCATCTGGTAACTCTGAGTATTCACTTTTTGGCCTGGAAATAAATATGAAAATTCATCTCAATTATACAAATTATATCAAATTATAAATATTAACAGTTCTCTTCCAATAATTTACCATAACATCTGAATGAGGATTGGTAAACATGAGGATGACATCCTATAAATGAAGCATCACTGCTTAAAATTCTTGCATCAATAGTATATTTTAGACTCCTTAAACAAGTACTATGTGGTTAAACAAAGAGTAATTTTTTTATTAACATTTAATACATCCAAATTAACTACTGATTTTATTCAAAGCTTGCTTTGGTCAAACTTATCAATACATTTGGCTATTAAACGAATCCACATAAATTTTGAAAAGATATAGGCATCATCTGTGTCCCACAACGTACCACTCCTCAGGTTTGGGATAGTCGGTGTGGCGTAGGGCGTTATCTGGGTCATATTCAAACGCCACTCCACTGGTGGGATTCCACTTAGCATGCTCCTTGGCAAACCCCTTCCTGGCAAATGCTCGTAACTTCAACTCCTGTCCCTTGCGTAGCTTTACTATCAGGATATCTGGAAAAGACTGGAAATTGTCACAAATATGTTCATAGAGCTTTGTTTTCACTATTTTTTTAGTTAATATGACATAAACAAATAAAAATCATAAATTTACTTCCTCTGTTGTCTTGGACTTAATAAAAATTTCAATTCCAATGCTAACCACAAATTGGTTTCTTCACATTTTTCCCCTTTTTCTTTTTTTACCAAATTGAAGAGAAATATTGCTGAAATGATTTTCCTGGGATTTCAAACTGTGTTCATTTTCTGGCCATATAACATGCTACTTATGTCAGGCCAGTAGCCAGGGGGGGTTCGGGGGGTTCAAAAGAACCACCCTTTTTTGCTGGGAAAAGGTACACTCTGGGTAAAATTTGATCTATGCACTTGAGGATTTTATGGTAAAAGGTCCACTTTTTCATAAAACGAACCCCCCCTCTAAAATTGCTGGCTACGGGCCTGTATGTGATGACTATACTGATGAATTCTTCCTCACCATCTGTTTCACCATATCCTTCTTCCTCTCTGTGCTTGGATGTCACCTGAAATGAGTAGAAACATTTCGATCACGAGTGCATACTGTCAAAAATCTGACTGTTCTTAATTTATAATATGATACTCCTCGACAAAATTTTGAGGGACTGGTAGAAAAGTGTATCCAGAAAGTTCAAGGGAACAACAACAAGTTTAAGAGCAGCCATGTTGAATTTACAGTCAGTCTGGCAAAAATCCTTCAGGCAAATTTTTATAATTGCCAGAAGAGCAGGACGGAATATGTAAACTTTCAGCACCTATCAGTGAGGTAACTGCAAGCATTTATTATAATATAACTTGTGTCCAATGGTTGTAAATAAACCATCTATATTTGTCAGCAAAGAAGATAACAATTGATCACAACAGCATTGGGTAGTGTTGTAAAATTTCATTCTTGCAAAACAATGGTCTGTTCATTGTTGGGTATTAGATAAAGAATGATTAAATGTTCCTTACATAACAAAGCATTTCATTGTGACATCAAATTTAAAACAACAGAGAAACCTTTGTTTAACATTTGACAGCACAAGACAATACAGTTGTGACATCACAACCAATTGTCATGGTTACCAAGTGTCACCACGACAACCTCACAGTTGGTGACCTAGACAAAGGATGCGATGCTCACATTGAGTGTTCGTGGTTACAGAGTCCTAGACATGGAACAAAGTTTTAATCCCTTTAGCCACAGTATTTTATTCAGTCATACCTGGCGCCCCAGTGTTCCAACACTACAGCAGCTGTGTGTAAAGCGTATCAGGAACGGGGTGACACTCAGGAGGTTACAGCAGGTATACAGAGCATGCTTCTCATTTTATGGAAAACTGAGATCAATCTTGAATAAAATTTCTTTTTAAGTTTAACTTACTTAAAAATCAGAAAATTGAAGTAATTTAAAATGATGATATATTAAAGAGAAAAATATTAAAAATCTTTTGAATTTCCCCAATTTCACAGTAAAACTTTGCAATAAATGTTTAACCTAGCTATTACTTACAGCTTATAATGGCTGGATTTTATTTTATTATTTACTCCAGGGTGCAGGGTTGTTGTTTACTAGTAAATATGTGGTGTATAAAGTGAACTATCATAATAGTCATTTGGATAACTTTTTGTTCTTAAATAATTTCATCAAGATGACACATAGCTTGATATAACCTAACTTTGTAATTTTTTCCACAGACCAGTTCCCTTCCTTTACCAAGAAGACTTCAACTGAGCCTCTCCAATCTCAGTATGGATGACTTCCTGATAGACCCCCCTGCCGTCACTACGGAACACCTGCAGGAACAATGTTATCCTGCCGTCTGCCGCTTTAGTGGGGAAAGAGTCTATCTCAAAGTGGTTGACTCCAGAGACTCAGCAGGTAAATTTAAACTGTTTTCCCAAGATGAACGTGGACCTTTTAAAAAAATCCTGAAACATGAAGTGCTAAATATGGATATTGCAGAGGTCACTAACAGAGCACCAAAATATTTGCATTTTCCAGTATAAAATTTCAAATCAAAACTAATAATTTGGTGAAAATCTTATTTTTTCATTCTTTTTCTTGCAAAAGAAAATTACCTTTGAATTAAAAAACGAGCCAAGCATAAATACAGCACTTTTTGTTCATGGTATCCATTGTTTGACAAAAAATTTGGTCAAATATTTCGCTTGAAATTCTAAAAGAAAAAAGACAAACTGTTATTTTCAGATCCAGAGATAGTCCAGTCCTATGTCAATGACCCATGCTACATTACGCAGTTCCACACTTCCAGACACACGACCTACGTGCTGAAATACACCAAAACCCTCACTGATCTTCTGGACGCTCACAGGCGAGTCCAGATCGATATCCCCGTGGAGACCATCTGGGACCTTCTCCACAAACTCGCCAACCTCATGCTGACTGTGCCACACGATGCTATGACATTTCCCAGAACCCTCCACTTCCTGGATGACCAAGACAAGCTACATTTCCGTCCCTCTTCAGTGGTAAGTGCCACATCAGACCGACAACTCAGCTGGATTTTTCCTACCCTGGGTGTCTACGACCCTCCTGAATACTTCCTAGGTGAGGCTATCACAGAGAAAGCATTAGTCTGGCAGTTTGGCTGTATAGCTTATGAGCTTGTCACCTTGACTCCGGCATTTAACAGAGGGTTCCACACTCTCCAGGGTGGTGCCCCCACCTTCAGTATGGCAGAGAAGTACGCTGAGATCACAGAGCTGACTAAGAGATGTCTCAAAGTGGACCACTGCTGAAAGACTCTCTTTACAGGAAATCAGTGACATAACATGTCAACACATCAAAAAGGAGACAAGTGTGTAACCAAGCTCCACAAACTGCCTGAAGTTTACTTTTTTGAATTTTGTTTTAGTCTCTTTTACAACAGTGACACTACTTCTATTTAAAATTTACTGACAGCTTTACAAGTATGAGGTTCAATTATGTTAGTCTGAAATAAATTGTTATCCTTTGAAAAGTAAATTTTTGTTAAAACAATTACATCCTTCCTCATTCTGCAGCTTAACATGGTAACTACTTTAGTGGACATATATATATTTATTTATATATATATATATTCTTAAATTTTAATATCCCCCCCACCCTCCCATGCACTCACTGCAAACAATTTCGACCAGCAAGCTATTCATGAAATCCTTCCAGTTTTCGGGTCATATCACATGACTTTATATGAATATGTTTTTATATCTGAAAAGGTCAATAACTCCTACAAGTCCAACATTATTTTTACTGGAGATCATACAGCATGTGAATGTTGATCTTTCCTGCATCTGCATCACAGGTCACATGATTTCATTATTACACTATCATATTTGAAAATGCCTATAACTCTTACCATGACAACTTTACGGTTACTGAAGATCATATCTGAAAATCCCTATAACTCTTACCAGGACAACTTTAGGGTTACTGGAGATCATATCTGAAAATGCCTATAACTCTTACCAGGACAACTTTAGGGTTAATGGAGATCATATCTGAAAATGCCAATCACTCTTACCGGGACAACTTTAGGGTTACTGGAGATCATATCTGAAAATGCCTATAACTCTTACCAGGACAACTTTAGGGTTACTGGAGATCATATATGAAAATGCCTATATCTCTTACTGGGATAACTTTAGGGTTACTGGAGATCATATATGAAAATGCCTATAACTCTTACCAGGACAACTTTAGGGTTACTGGAGATCATTTCTGAAAATGCCAATCACTCTTACCGGGACAACTTTAGGGTTACTGGAGATCATATCTGCTGTGGTGACGTGCCGCGTCTGATCATCTGTACACTTCACTTCCAGCTGGAACTCCACTGAACATTCGGGACAAAACTCATCACATGTGCAATCCTGGAAATCATGGGAATGTAGACATTTAACAACAAGAATGCAAACAATGAAGGCAAGGGGGAGGAGGGGGAGACTGCATTTAAATTAAGCATGTTTGGTACTGACTATCACTGAATAAGCATACATAATATATAACAAAAAATAAAAATGAAATGGAACAAAAAATCACATTGGGATTGGGGATTAAGATTTGAAAAGGCTAGTTTATATAAAATGATATTAAATCATTGAGCACTTTGCACCAATAATTGTATAAATTTTCCAATACATGCAGAGAAAAAATGCAGGCAGAAATTGTAAACAGAAAAAGATGTGTATGTGTGTGTGTGTGTGTGTGTGCGCACGCATGCGAGAGGAGTGGGGGGGAAGGGGGGTCTGGCCTCACCCTGGAGTACTGCATCCTGTCCACCACCTCATCACTGGTCAGAGGGATGAGACCCACTCGATGTGCTATGAACTCATCATGAAGGACACTAGAGTTTGCCTCAATCTGGACCCAATCAATGGCTGAAATTGCAAATTAAAAGTACATGAAATGTAAAGGAGACACAAGTAATCAACAATGTAATACCACCACCATATTCATTTCATTCGACTCTTGCAGTTTCTTAGTTTCTAGCCTTACCGAGAGTGGGAACCTCAGCGATCACAACTCTTCTCATAGCATTGGCAGTGCTGAAAGTAAAATAAATATTTTAGTACGGTAGCTAACAAAAAAGGTGTACAGTAACTTTGTTCTCTCAAATTCTAAGGTCATATATAGTGACAGATAATCCACCATCAAGCCGACCATTGCATTACATGGTGATCTGATAAAGAAAAACAGTACACGGTGAGTAAGTTACAGGTACTAGCTGGTATCAAATTAAGTAAACTAAATCAAATGACAACATTGACACGTACTGCCGCTTTGTCAGCCTTTTTTTCAGATAATTACTATTTAAGTAAACACTCAAATCATTACCTTAGATCTGTATCCTCAAGAACAAACTTTATATTTTCGTCGGTCAATTCGGAAACATGTATAGTTGGTTGATTTGCGTACGGCATCGTGATCTTTTAAAACTGCCAGTAACAACAAACATCCGCGTGGGATCTCCCGGTATATTTCAAGTATGGCCGACCTTGGGAATGCTCCAAATGAGGGGGCGTGTGGTTGTTCTGTTTTGTTTATAACATTTAACTCCATAAATAATAGATTTAAGAATAAATATAATAATTTAATTGCTATAATTATCTCTGATTTAATTCTATGAAACATACATGTTTGGCTTCCCGAATAGATCTAAACTTGATGCAGTTTTAACAGCTAAATAGAATCGTCCGCCGAACTCGTGCATGCTTCGAGAAAACACGAGACTATCTGGAGTGGAGACTCGGCAACATATTTATCTGAAAATGTCTTCGTTTTCTGAGAGCAGCTTGACGAAAAAGTTGCACGAGCTCAACAACTCGCAGCAGAGCATTCAGACGCTGTCATTATGGCTTATTCACCACAGAAAGCACTCAAAGACGATAGTTGACGTGTGGCTTCGAGAACTGCAGAAAGGTAAGAGCATCTCCGGGTCCTTGACCTTGCTGTGTTTATTTATTTATTTACTTTCAACCTCATGTTAACTCTGTAGTTTTTGATGATTTAAATGTCAGTAAGATGTGTCGTCAGGAGTTAAGGTGCTGAAACTTGTTTGGTACACATATGGTGCAATGTTTGCACACGTGCATGTGTTATGTATTATTTGCATCAATGATTTTTTAGGTCGTGAACTTTTTTTCCTTTTTCCACATTTATCATTTTTATACGGTCGTTTCTGAGGGTTCTACCAGGATGAATAAGACTTCTCATTATTTTATTAACATCACGTGTGTCCTCCCACATCATGTGTACATCTGTGGTTGTTCCCAGTTTGATACTAATGCATTAATTCATTTGCAAGTCCTTAATTATCCCTGTGATAAGACTGTTGTTATTGTTTGGGGTGGGGGAGAGTACACATGGCACTTACTTATAATCAGGCCCGTAGCCGGCAATTTCAAAAGGGGGGGTTCTTTTTCTGAAAAATGTGGACCTTTTCCCGTAAAATCTTCATGTTCCTAGATGAATTTTTACCCAGTGTGGACCTTTTCCTAGCAAAAGGGGCGGTTAATTGTTTCGAACCCCCCGAACCCCCCCTGGCTACGAATTCATTGTGTCTGCTGAATTTATTTTAGGTGGCATTTTGATTAATATTGAATACTTTTTTGCCTGTTGGTTGTCATTACAGTATAAAATGGAACATTTTTCAACTGTTTTGAACACTGAATGATTCTGACAGAGTACACCAAATACAAACACAAGCCAGAATTAATTAAACCACATGGCTATTGTGTAGTTTCATTTGTAAAGACAAGATGTGCACTCAGATTAATATATGCTCAAAGGAACTACATATCTCAGTTTTCTTCATCTCATAAAAATGACCCAAGTGATACAACTTGTCCTGGTCTTAATATGCATAAAAATTTGTCAGAACTCCCACTAATCACGTGAGCAGTTGTAATATTTTGCACCTCCTGTTTTTAGTGAAGTCCAGTCGTAAACTGACCTTTGTCTACCTGGCCAATGATNACCCCCCCCCCCCCCCCCCCCCCGGCTAGGAATTCATTGTGTCTGCTGAATTTATTTTAGGTGGCATTTTGATTAATATCGAATACCTTTTCGCCTGTTGGTTGTCATTACAGTATAAAATGGAACATTTTTCAACTGTTTTGAACACTGAATGATTCTGACAGAGTACACCAAATACAAACACAAGCCAGAATTAATTTTACCACATGCTGGGGTAGCACTAACACTCGCCAGTTTAGCCAAATGCTAAAACTGAGTTAAATTGGCTAAAGAAAAAGGGCTTGATTTGACATGTTTTAACCAAATTATAACCATTTTGATAACAAATTGACAAAAATGTGGTGATTTGGCTTAGTGAAAAAATTTGCTAGCGCTCCCCCAGACATGGCTATTGTGTAGTTTCATTTGTAAAGACAAGATGTGCACTCAGATTAATATATGCTCAAAGTAACTACGTATCTCAGTTTTCTTCATCTCATAAAAATGACCCACGTGATACAACTTGTCCTGGACTTAATATGCATAAAAATTTTTCAGAACTCCCACTAATCACATGAGCAGTTGTAATATTTTGCACCTCCTGTTTTCAGTGAAGTCCAGTCGTAAATTGACCTTTGTCTACCTGGCCAATGATGTGGTCCAGAACAGCAAGAAGAAAGGTCCGGAGTTCACCAAGGACTTTGCACCTGTCTTGATGGAGGCTCTGAACCATGTGGCAATGTAAGTGTATCCATTGGAGATGTGATTTCAATTTTTTTTTCTGGATTTTCAGTCAAAAAACTTATTTTCTCTAACTTATCGGGATAATTGCACAACGTTGTCAACCTAAAAATGCTATAGTAAAGGAATCCAGCTGTCTTTTGGACACCCTATTTTAGCAATTTGTTCACATATTTTATTGGTGAACATGTAGCTGAGTAAACCTGTCTCAGTAAGAAAATGAATTTGACTCATTTCAATTAATTTTCTTACTGAGACAATGAACATGGACTCCCTAAGTCCAAAATCCTGGATAAACCATTTTATCACTTAGCACACAGTGTTTTAATAACATAATATATAATATTATTTTTGAGTTGGGTCTGTTAATTTCTTATGATTATTGCAGGGAGGCGGATGAGAAGACCCAGCAGGCTCTGGGGAGACTGTGTAATATTTGGAAGGAAAGAAACGTGTTTGAAAAACATCTCCTGCATGAACTGAAACAGGCGCTATCAGGGAAGAGTGAACCCAAAGGTGGGTAGGATTAAATGTGTCAGAATGTTCTTATTTGGTGAATATTATTTTATTTTTGTACAGCATTGGGCAAATTTTAAAAACATAAAAAACATCTGAAACATTAAGTTGTATGCCTAATCCTTAATATGGTGCTACCCAGAAGAGATGATTTTATGGTGAAAATATAGCCAGAATTGTTTTTACTTCCATATTCATTAAGCAGACAGGATGAGGGTTATGTTAACCTTAGATATATGATGATTGCAGGTCAATTCACATTATAAAGTAACTGAAGCATATAAAGGAACACAAATGAAGCGCATCCTCCACTTTATTTTATTTGAAGTTTTTCTGTTTCAGAAACATCGTCATCATCATTATTATTATTATTACTACTACTATTATTATTATTATTATTATTATTATTATTCCAGAGGCAGAAGCACCACCAGTGAAGAAGAGCAAGCTAGATCAAACCAAACTAGAACAACTTCCTCTATCTCTGAGAGAGGAGATAGCAGCAGATATATCAGACTCACCCAAAGAACCTCCTGACGTAAGTTGATATCAACACCATACTCATCAGGCTCAAACTTCAGCACATTTTCTCTGTAAAAAACAATTGTCTTTGATTTTTTTTGTATTTTTTTCTTTCCTTAATTTGAAAGTTATTTTGTTTGTGGTTACATCCAACCAGTAACAAATGTGCTGGTGGCACCTTCCTGGGAGATGACCATGACTCTCTAATACTCTAGTCTGACATTGTAGTTGATCTATTTCAACAGTATATGTTTTAAGACTTGGCATGTTTTACCACCTTTCTCATCAGAAAATTATAATATTTCTTTTATTTCACTATTTTAATAAAAAAAAACTGAGATAATTGGTGGCAATGATACAGGTATTGAAAAAATTGCCTCCACTTAACAGTTTAATCAAGAAGTTGATATTTTCGGTTTTACATACTGTTTTTCCCTTTGAACTATTGTTACATTAAATATCTTTCAGGCAGAGGAGTTAGTTCGAGCTCTACAGGATTTGGAGAACTCTGCATCCACAGATGCTGCCGTCAGGGAAAGAATTGCAGCTCTGCCACCAGAGGTCTCTGATATCGCCATGTTGGAGAAGATAAAAGGTAGAACTCTTGAAGTTGCACTGGGCTTCTGATTCTAAGCATTTATTTATATTGTACAGATTTTGATAATGATTTGCTCCTGTAAACAATATTAATAGCTAATTAAACAGCTGGCATGTTCACAGTATTGTAGGTGAACAAACAAAGATATTTCTTCATTCCAAGATTATCTGTTTGTTTAATTAGTTTTTATTTGCCCCAAGATTTAAACACCCACTTGGAAACTTAACGGAAGTGAGATGAGATTAAGACATGGTGAAATTTCATTGATTTTTCTCTGACATTGTAAAGTGTTGTTTTTTTTTTTTTAAGACTCTGTTACTGCTTGTTTTCAGCTTTTGTGTATTTTCATTTTCTTCAACTCTCTGTAGCATCATTTCTTTTCTTCCCTTGAATCAGGCCTTATAAATTTAAAACCACAAATTAACAACATATTCCGCATCCGGCAATAACAGAGCGAATGAGTGTTAGTGTTAGGTATCGCTTTGTTGGTGCTAAATAATTTTACAGTGTGTTGGTTAATTTGTGGGTTACGTTGTTAATATAGGCATTAGTGCTAAATGATCTGCAGGTAGTGTTAGTAAACACTTAATCCATTTATAAGTTCTGTTGAATTATGGGTGTTTGCTTCTAGTGAATTTCTTATTGTATACTGTTGTTTTCTTCCAGACAGGGAAACAGTGGACAGGTTGAGTCGAGAGGTGGAGGATGCTTCCCTCCTTCTAGCCGAGTACAACTCTCGTTTATCAAAAGAACTGGAAGAAAGAAAACATATAGCGCAGATGTTAAAAGATTTTATAGCATTCCAAAAAGACCAGCTGACGGAGTCAGAAAAAAGATTAGATGTAAGTTTTTGATCTTTGATCGTGATATGAAAACTGTGACAAAGTGAGAGAAAATTCCCACTGGAAAAAAATCATGTGACAGTTAGTGCTCCAGTAGTTATTTTTCTCTTATCTCTTATCATACAGAAACAACGTTACCCAAACTAAAATTTCCAACAGAAGTTGTCCCTAATGACAAAGACTATTGTAGACTACACAACAAGAAAATACCATAGAATAATGATCATATTGTTTCTTTTTCCCAGGAATACAAACAAAAGTTGGGTAAAGTGTCCGAGGTACGGAACGAGCTGAGGTCTCACATCCAAAATCTCCCCGACCTGTCCCTGCTACCAGATGTCACGGGGGGTCTGAAACCTCTGCCGTCTGCTGGAGACCTCTTCGCCAAAGAATGACAGTAACAGCCGCAGAACTCTGCAGATGTCTGCTGGATTTTTAAAACAAATATGAGGAAAAGTGACTGGGCGCTGGTGCTTTGAAGTTGTTCTGAAGACTTGGTGAGCAGAACATGAAGATCAGTCATGGTTTACACCAGGGGGGTGTAAGAGTCGAGGAACAGAGGTGAAAAGATGCATTTCTTGGGCGCATTTTTCCCCCGAGGACAATTGATTTGTTCCTCTAAGGTATCAAGGTTTGTTCTGGCCATTGTGATCTTAGTTGTGCTGTTTCTTATCTCTAGAATAGCACATAAAATAAAATGATTGGGATTTATTTTATTGGCCTTTTTTATTGCAAAGCTTTGTTTCCACAATAAAGTGCCATCTTCTTTATGTCTCTGTTAAGTTGTTCTGCAGCATTGTTGACAGTACTTTATCTAATGCTATGTTGTTCTCTACCTGACAATTTTTTTCTCTTTTCGTCACAGACTTTGCTACAAAAATTTGATAAGAGCAAAAATTAGATGCCAAAGCATTTTTTTCTGCTATTATGTAAGGTTTAATTATAACTTTAATGCTATGGTATGTTGTAAAACAGACTGCAGATGGTAAGATCTTATTATGTAAGCATGGTTTTATCTGGTGGGAAGGTTCACGAGGGTGTGTCAAGATTGAGAAAGGGCAATAACATACTTGACATCTTTGCATGTTTGAATGAAAATGTGAATTGATTATACACAACTGGGATGCAAAAATCATCTTTCTTTGAGACTGAAAGAATTTTTTTGTAAGTTATTATGTAGAATAACGTGGATGGGAACTTAGTTTTAGCAATTCTTTTGTTTGTGAGTTAATGTCATGGGGTTGGCATCTTCAAAAAAGTAAGATATTTTAACCTGGTTAAGTGTGTATCCGTGCTGCTAAAATGTAGTGTGATGACAGTATTTCCATTTGATGTCGTTTAATTTATATTGAAAAGGAAGTGCATCTGTTGTATGGTGGGTTAAATGTCTTATTTCTTTTTTCCATTTTTGCATGTACCATTATTTTCCCATAGCAGCAACACTCGGATGTTATTGTAACCATCTGTGTTTTCAGTGTCAATTGCTCTTCTATCATTCTCACTTTTTAAAATGTATGTTATTATTCCCAGGGTCTGTAAATCTGCATGTTAAAATCTAAAGCAGGTCATGCGTCATCAAGGCGTTTTCATTTCTACAAAATGCAATAAGTTATTGGAAGATTATAAAGATCTAACAAAAAATGAAATTATTGATTGCTTGTTATTCAGTTCTTGTTTAAAAGAATATTTTTTCAAGAAATAACCTGGACATGTATCTTCAATGTTACTAATATGTAATGTTTTTCATTAATGAACAACATGAGCTTTGCTGAAATTATTAGGGTAAGGATAATGGAATGAATGCAGTTTTAAATGCATTTAATTGTACCATATGATTTTCTTAATTGAGGAAAAAATTCACCTGCCCTTGTATTTTATAGATGTATTCCCACTGTTAAAACGCAAAAGATTCCCAATAGTTGAGAGGCGACACGTTAAGCCCCCTTACGCTGGGCGGCGTCCTTTCTGCGTCCACGAAGTACGGCCCTGTTTGAGAATAAAAAAATAAGAATACTTAACGTGCCGACAACCGGCCGATCATTGAGGTTTCATTTAGCAACCAAAGCGATGCTTGTGCCTCTTTTCTACCACCACAGCGATGCCAGTTTCATGGTCGCAGAAAGGACGCCGTCCAGTGTAAAGGAGGTTTTAATAAATGCAGTAAAATGGAAGCATTCTATTTCTGAGAACATATTACCTGACTAGCTAGGTACCGACAGTCTCATTCTCTATTGTGCCTGTGAAAGAAAGCACTTTCATTTCGTATCAAGGGCAAAGTTTTGCGTCTGTAAGGACATTAAATGTCGTTTACTTTGTAACTGGTAGTAAACATTTCAATTGTTCATTTACTGGGTATGAATAAATTGTTATTGAATACAAGGAACGTTACGTGTAGAGTTTTAGTTACTCTTTAAGTTACCGCGGACAGTTTTCAGTCATTGTCTTTCTCGTGATCATCGTTTAAGTCTGTAAGCGCCTAAAGAAATTATAGCCTTTGAATACAAAGTTGATTCCAGACAAAATGTGTGTAAAGGTCGACGTTTGCACTATAATTTTGTTCCACACGGGAAGATAGCATTAATCAGATGGTTGGAGACTCGGTGTCAAGCACGAGAGAGGTACATGTGATACTGAATCAGGTGTAACAGGAATTGAAGTCCGCTAGGAATAGTAGTCTGCATCCCATTACTTTGTACAGTTGACACTCGTCCCATATACTAAACCCAATACTCCAACTAACCCTTACTATACCTGTATTAATCATATTGGAGCCCGGACTTCCATTCCTAGGACTTCCATTCCTGTTACACCTGTACTGGCCAGCTCGTCCCAGATTGTCCCACTCACGTCACACTAACCCTAACATGTACCGCTTAAATGGAGGACGGACTCTAAGACCGCTCAGTTCCTTATCATACGTAGTGATTGTCCAAACCGGTTTTCTAGTTCACTCGGGTGACCTGCTGCTTGGCTGGTGGTTTTGGCCATGGTAATCGGCCGACGGTCAAAAGACGTTTTTTCCACCCTTGTACAATATTGTGGAAAGCCCTTTCTTTCAACCTGTGACATTCAGATGACCTTGCCGCCTTTTCATAATTCTTTGATTTACTCGAAAATAAGGTGAAGTTTAAAAAAGAGCTTGGCGGAATACTTGAGGGAAGAACCGTTGGAACCTTTTTTATAACATCTTTTTGAAAAATTAACATCCTTTACATGTATCAATCCAAGAGCCAAAATTATATCCTCGAAGCATGTTGTAAGCAAATAAAAATATAAAAAATAAAACTTTTTTTCCACCCAAAATTCACGTTTGATTCTAATTTGAAAATGGATCCTTTTCGTGTTAAGAGTATTTAGATATGTTACTGAAATAGTTGAAGCGGTCTGAAAATGAATATAGTATGTTTATCATATTCATTTATGTTACATCATCTGATGTATAACGGCTTTTTGACATCTCTCGCACCCTCCCTGACCACTCCATATCACCCTGTCGCTTTAATAAATACAGAGATATCATCTCTTGATGGATTTTCTCGTCTCTTGTCATGTTAACGTTCTTTTTTCAATTTACATGAAATATAATTGTACCCCCCCCCCCCCCATAAAAAAGAAATAAAATAACTAAATAATTACATAAATAAAGATTTGTCGCGTTACTTAAAGGAAGGGATGAGATTAAAGTAATAACACTAAATCAGTTTTTTTTTCTTTCATGTCTATATTTCCTGACGAGGCTCATTTTAAATGAGGAGTCACATGCCCCGATATATACAACCGAGCAACACTTTAAATTACACGTTTGAATACGTCGTACCTGACACTGCGTTTTTCTATTACTTTTTTTATATCACACATTACTGCTGTGTCATTTTGACCCAAGATACCTAAACTTGAAAACAACGTCATTCACATTAAGGTGGGGCGTGCACATTTAGTTCACTATCTTGTATCACGTACACGTAGGACAAAACAAAAAAGAAAAATGGCGATGATAAGCTCCCAAGTGTTTCCTGGTCGTCATTTCTTCATGATATGTTAATTGTACAAATGACAATCAGCACAGCTTCAACAAAAAGATGTAATGCTGATTAATTAATTAATTAATTAAGATAGCTGCTCTTGCTCTCATCACGTTTGCCTCTGTGTGCGAATTACTATGATAAAATCTCAAAACCTCGCTCTAACTTATGAATATTTATAAAAAAAGCAACATGGAACGCCGAGATATCCCTCCGCTAAAATGAACTCATCCATCTGAAGCGACATTTGCATGATTTTAATGATGCTGCGTGCGCCCGAGGACTGCAGCAGACGACACTAGAATACGACGTGGTACTAACAGCTGCAGGACAGCCACGGGTAAGTAGAGTACGTCGCGGTGTTTTGTTTTGATTTTTTTCTCCTTGCTTTTTATAATCTTTACTTCTTATTGGTGTGAGATGCATATTTTTGGGTAATATGAATGAAGTTACAAAAAAATTATGAGCATGTTTTACGTAAATAGCTCGCTTTAATAACTTTGGTATATAATAATTTCCATATATAACAGTGAGACACACTGAGATTCGTTCATATTTTAGTAATTTTGTAAAGCTTAATGCAGCCAAACAGCCATTGATATTTCTATGAGAAGAAAGTTACTAATGGACAAAACTTGAAACAGTTTATGCTGCACCCTATAAAGTCGTGAACTCCATTAACGTGTGAAAATCAAGCAAGAGTTAAAAGTCAACCTCATACCCTGACTATATTCATAACATCATCAGTGTCACGCGAGCCAGACGACATGGGATCTCTATTGCTAAAGAACAAACATAGTGGATTTTTTTTGCCTCTGGAATGGACATTAAATTTCTACAGGTAACGACTTAGGGAGAGAATAATAACACAGGTAGATAACGCCGCGGAGAGATACATATCAACGCTTGTTTCCTCGTCCGAAAACTGCTGCTTGGTATCCTACCCAGCAATTTGCATGAATCTTAAACTATTTCCTCTACGATATGTTGTATAAGACGTTATGAAGACACACGTGTTTGTATAGGAATGGATGGGAGTGTAAGGTTCAAAACGCTATTCTCTTCGGTATAGATATAGCACATGTAAAAATATAAACACGACGATGTTTTCAACTCAATTTTCAATATTTGTTCTTCGCAAAGGAAATGTAGAAACAGGTAATTACTGGCTTATCACCGATCCATGCAGAAACTCTTATGCAGATAATGATTTTCAATCTTAATTAGAGGCCTGACGCTGAATGTGTGAAGCATTTGTAAATGTTAAGTATTTGTAAAATAAAATAAAATAAAATAAAACAAAAGGTGCTGCAAAGGGATGACGTAGAAAATTTCTGTTATTAAATCAATTTTATGCTTATGGTGATTCACAAAAGTGGACTACAAATTAATGCTTCTGCAAATATGCGTATAGGTCACCGTGAAAAAACGAAATAGAAAACATATATTTGTTACTAGGCGAAAGAGAAAGCTTTAACGTTGTTAACATGCCCTGTCGCACATGGCGCTGTTTGAGGTCGTAAAATTAATATGCAGGGATAATGAAGCGAGGCGTGATAAAAATATAAATGCGAAACGTGTCTTCTCTGCATCTGTAACGGTAACTCAACAATTTATCGGCCGATTGCAAGGAAGTCGTTGGGCACTCAGCATGTCGCCCAAGTAACTTCCCCTATGCGTTGAAATACACGAGTGCTTCATATTGCCATATGTATTGTGATCGGCACGACTGAGTTTGATCCTAATGCCGAAAAGCGTGTAGGTCGCTTAGAAGTCGGTCCAAATTGTCCCAGTGTACTTACACCCGGTGTCCAAACCAAGTGTCGCCAGCTGATCACCTCCAGCAGGCCATCTAAGTATAAACAGGATTGTATATATAAAACACGTTATGCAATCGTGATATTCTAGCAGGCTATTAATGACTAAAACAATCTCCCCGGCAGTCTTTGTCTACCTGCTTTTCACCTAGAAATCGCTCAAAATTTAATTAGTTAGAATTTATAACATGGCAAAATGTTGCTGCTGTGAGCTTCAGCATGCCGGTTGCATACTCAACTCTCTCTCTCTCTCTCTCTCTCTCTCTCTCTCTCTCTCTCTCTGTGTATGTGTGTGTGTGTGGGGGGGGTTAGAGTATGTGTTTGTTTGCGTGTTCTTCTGTATTAACATCATCGTCATGACATATTAAAAATCACCTTGCATGATGCCGCAGTGCACGTTAGAAATCTGTGAGTCAACATCATAGGTAATAAGTCTTCTTAAAACAATAATAGCCCGCGACAACACTAATAGCGTCTTAATTTTGGCAAAGCACGGTGGTTTATACCTTTGATACCAAATAATAATAATAACAATAAAAGGAATGGTAATGGTATTAGGCGAGGGAAAATTGTTTAGTTCATGACATGACAGGTTTAAGAGCTCTAAACTACAGGAAAAGCATAGACAAACATCTTTGGGACCATTCCCAGTACCGCACTTACTATCTCCGGGATTCTCCCTGAGGGTGCATTCCCAGAGATTTAGATCGATCCAGAGATTAAGATTTAGATCGACCTAACTCTCTGGGGGTTCACGCTAAATTGCAGTCAGCCGAGCGCGCACCATAGCTAAATACCCCCTTACAGCTTTTAGAAGGCGGGACAGACGCTTAAGCCGGCTAAGCTAACAGAAATCAAGTGAGACTCCCCACAGGGATAGATCGATCTAAAATCTATGGGAATGGGGTCTTATTTGCAATCAACTTAAGCGGCTTATATGTCCGTCTACTCTACTGAAGCTGCTAGGGGGAAATTAATAATGGTTTAGCAGCTTCAGTAGGCGTGCCAGACATCTAAGCCGCTGAAGCTGAAGCAGGTTAGCGAGACATCCCTTGGAGATGGATCGATCCTGTTAGATCGATCCGGGTATGGGAATCCAGTCTTTGTCTTTCAAGTTGTTTGTATAAGAATGATGCGAGGCTCGTGATTGGTAACCATTAAGTCACGATGAAAACATTTAATATCTCATCAGTGGCGAAAAAATACATCAGTCTAGGAGGTCACGCGCGGAGTTCACACAGTCGTACTGGTAAGAAATGTGGATGAATTTCGTACGGGATGAAGGCAGTTATATAAGAACAACAACAGCAGCACGAGCAATAATAATAATAATAATAATAATAATAATAATAATAAATAATAATAATTGATAATGTGTTTAGATCCAGCGGTTTGAAGGAATGAAATTAACATTAGATACAAAACAGCGACGATAAACATAAGGGAAACATTTCTATACGCGTTCAAAATCCATTTCGTCTTATTTGGTTTGTCTATTTCGTGACACTGCAGATATACCGCACTTTCAGTGGCTGAGTCATATGTTTAATAACAAGGTGGTGTTGACCTATGCTAGAAGTTAAAATATTCTTGACTTCTTTAAAAAAGTCAAACCAGTTAAGAATTCGTGTAAACTGCATTTGTTTAAAACACAAGGACCGGCTCTGTCTGTTCGTGATTTTCACCTTCAACAAGATAGAACAGCAGCGAAGGGCGGAATATGAATTGAGAACTGCAAAATCTACATTTGAGATCTGCTACCTGCACAAGGTGCTGGATCTAATGACACATTTGGGAATAAAACTCCCTCTCTTTAACTGTGAGGAAATTATGCACTTGTATCGAAATATAACTGATAAGCGCTTCATGAAGACCGCGTGATTGTTCCTCTACAGTTAATAGTAAAGCGATAGCACCCGCAGGAAATTTTGTCCCAAAGATATTTCCATAAACGTTGAATCAGATATGTGCCTTAAGTATGGGACTTATTAATATGTACCGTTAAATATCGGTATGAAGGGGTCGAATGCTACGAAATTAGGAATAAATGCGTCTACTGTTTATGCTCAAAATCTGCAGGGCCTGCGTCTTATCTTGTGTCGATAATAAGAATGATTTAGTAAATTGTGGTAAAGAGTAAATGCCAGTATTCAAAGCAATGCAGAATAATAACAGACTGAGAGAAGAATAATTAATGAGATCAAATAGAGGGTGCTAACGGAATGTTGGATCATAACAAAATGCTGCTTTAAATATCAGATCCCAGTTCAACTTTTATTTCTGTTGTTTTCAGTAGACCATGTTACACGTGAAAGTTGTGGCACTGCTGACTTTTCTAGCAGTCGTAAGTCAAGGTAAGTTTTCGGTGTGTGTGTGTGTGTGTGTGTGTGTGTGTGAGACGATGATGGTAATGGTGTTGATGATAATAAAAATGGTGATATTGCTGCTGTTGATGGTGACAATATTTATATAATTCTAAAATTCATGGAAAATACTCATTAAGGGATACAAATGATCGATTGAGATAAAAAAAATGTCGTTTTAAAGGAAAGTGTTGTTAAGGTAAAACGCTAGGGATTATTTTAACATACAACGACCACTTTATTAAAAGTTATAAATAAACTCTGGAAACTCTACACAACACCCTTCCTTTATAGACCGAAGTGATAGGTAAACTAACTTGAATAATGAGTTCATGAGATAAGTTCACACTACTTTCTAGTTTTAGGTTGTCACCAAATTTTTTTTACGAAAATAACCGAAATTTAGTGCAAACCTAACTTCTCATCATTACATTTTAAAATAATTGAACATCTTGTCATTTATCTTAACATCACCTCTATGCTTGCAGATAAACTGATATACTCTCTGATAATAATAATTGCAAATGCTAATTTTGCGGTATTGGAGAAAATTACCACGTGGTATGATAGTCACAGATGATAATAATTTATCAATTTTAACGAATTGACACCCTAGAAAACTTAACAACTGTTTTGATAACTTACACGATTCAATTCACGACTCACATATGAAATTCGGAGTACAAAATAATTGAAATAATGATAATAAAATAACAACAATAATGATAGAAAATAATAAAGATATGATAATAAATGATATTCTTCACACCTTGAAAAGGCCTCACAGAATACTTTTTAGAGCCTCAGTGAAAAGTGACCTAGTAACCTTGTATAACTGTCACTTTGAACTCCCTATCTTCCCATGGTGCCTGACACCAACAGGTAGCCCTGATATTCCTAGTGATATGTCACTATAACAACCAGCTGACGTTATACTCTGTGGTTTGTAAAAGACACAGTATGTATTTACGTCTACCTCCAATCTCTTATTAACATACCCCTTTTTGTGGCATGTAATTATTATGGAAAGTGTTATTGTTATCTTTCCCCATCGGTTTTGAGGGATGTACGGGTATATCTGAAATCTTCTACATTTGAATTTTTTGAGAAAGACGATTTGTCGAATAACATGATAAACTTGATTAAGGCTATTAGTTCTTTAATTTGATGTCTTGTTTTGGATCCTTATATTTGTATTCTAATTCACTTAGCACACATGTTAAATGTGTTGGATAAACAATCATAGTGCAGGTTTCTTTGATTAAAGTTTAGGTAGTGAATTGTGTGGGTGGAATGCGGCATCTCTCTCTCTCTCTCTCTCTCTCTCTCTCTCTCTCTCTCTGATGTGGATATTTGAATATATATCTTTAAGCAAGTGTTAGATTTAAAAAAAAACATTTCCCTTATATATACTAAGTAATTAAGTTTAAGTTAATTTTTTGTGTTCAAGATAACCGTTATACCATTAGTATATGCACATTTCGTTTGTATATGTGTCATTTTTCTACCTAATGTGACATCAATCAGGTAAAAATAATTTATTTCTACTCCTAGGGTGGACTGAACAATTTAGCCCATTCGCAGATGGCATTCCGCAGCCACCAAAACCAGAAGATGTCGCCACTGATGACGCCACAGATGACGCCACTGCTGACATCCCCACCATAGTGGTGGCGCCACAGGTCAGCTCTGAAGACCAACCAGAACCACAGCAAATGGTGGGAACAGGGGAAGATTCCACACCCGCTGAACAGAATGCCGAGACACCAGCACAGCAGATGACTATCACAGTGAACGGAGCGCCGGTCATGCCCGTCTTCCCCGTGCCTCCAAACCCCGACACTGCCAACCAGGGGGCCTTTTTCCCTAGAATGCCCCTTCCGCCAACTCCAGAGGGAGTCCAGCCTGATCAAGCCCCGGAAGAAACCACCCAGGAAGACAGCCAGCCCGCGGACAACCAGCCAATCTCGATTGTTGCTGTCCCAGAGGCCGATGACAGCCAAGACGTTCCCGTCCCAAGTCAGGATAACACTCCAATCAGCGCCCCTAGCGGTACAGGATTCAGTGACCCAAGACGGCCACTCCTTGGCGGAGACGACAACCGCAGGCGAGGGCCCTTCCCGCGGCCGTTTATGCCAAACAACATGGCCCCTCAACCCTTCCCCTTCATGATGGGACCAGCGGCTCCACCTGCCGGTGCAATGCCTCAGATGCCACCCAACCCGTTCCTCCAACCTGATCAGAATGACGAGGACAGCCAGCAGCCTCAAGAGCCTCAACACAACCAAGAAGCTGACGAGAGTGAAGGCCCACAACAGACACCCCAAATCATGGCTAATCTTCTGGGACTAATGTTCGGTTTAGGCAGTAACACCAATGTCTCTCCTGATCGTCACCTCACTCACCCACAAGACCAGAGCCACGACGACACCAACCAACAACAACCACCAGTTTTCCAGAGAGGAGATAACCAGGAGGTGCCATTCCCGTTCCCGTCAGGTCGTCCAAACCAGTCTTTCCCTACGCCCCAAAGGGGACACGGTATGGCTATGATGGGCGCCCCTGCTTTCCCGGGTCCGTTTGGCAACCAGAACGACGATACACCCAGGCCATCTTTAATCATGAATCCATCAGACCAGCCGCTGAGAAGACCGTTCAATTCTCCAGACAGCAATATGCCGGGAATCCCGAATGTCCCAGGAATTTTCATTGACATGATGGCAATGCAACCACATCAACAGCAACAACAACCAGATGCCAACAACAACCATCAGCCACAAGGCCATGGATTTAACATGATCTTTGACATCAGCCCCGAGCACTCCCCTGAACCCGACCAACAGCGCCCCCTGGAACAACTTCCGGAAGGAGCATTCAAAACTTTCTTGATGCACGTTGGTGTTCCTCCCCAGACCGGACCCCATGGTTTCCAGCCACAGGAGCAGCCACGCCCGTTTGGCCCCCAGGCTCCGCAAATGGAATCTTACGGCCCACCGCCCGGTCATCTGAGGAAAATGCCCGGCCAAAGAGGGCCACACGGCAATATGTTCATGAATGGGCCAAGACACGAGATGAACAGAGGCATGGGCATGATGATGATGATGCCTTTAGGACAAGACGGTCTCCAACAGCGCAACCCAATGGAGATGAACCCACCAAACTTCGGGCATCATCAACAGATGCCTCAACAGAAAAACGGGAGATTCCCAGCTCCACAGCATGGCATGTCTTCTCCTCAACATGGAATGCAGATGCCACAGCACAGTATCCCTGCTCAACAACAGCAAGCACATGGAATGCCAGCTCAGCAACACGAAACAGACACGCCCCAACAGCAACCAGGCATGGACATGTCACATGGTATGGGGATGCCAGGTCCACGACCAAGGGGGATGGTCATGGGTGGTCGCCCCCTGCCGAGCGTGCTCGTCTACGAGAGACTTTCCCACGTTACCTTCGCGTCACGTCGCCGCGAACAGCAGCGCCAGCAGATGCTACCACCACCTGGTGGTCCGCGTATGTGGTTTATGAAACCGAGACCACAGCCTCTGTTCAACTTCCCTCTCATGCCACCAATGAGACCAGCCAAGAACTTCATCCCCAATGCCGGGTTCGACACTCCTGTCCACGGAGTCCCACTCCCCAAGTTGCCAATTCTCTCCCATGCCCCCCACAGCGGTGCCCCCACCAACCCCGTGTGCTACCTGCCCATGGAGGTGGGCACCTGCACTGGAACCATGTTCAGATGGCATTACAATGAGAAGAGTGGCATCTGTGAGCCGTTCATGTTCAGCGGGTGCGGCGGAAATGCCAATAATTTCGAAACCGAGGAGGCTTGCAGTAATGTCTGCTGTGGTAAGTACAAGTGGAATGTTATACACGCCTTGAAATCAATAGGTTTATAGCTCATCATATATTTGGCGACCATTTAAAACTAGCAAAAGCGACTGTAAACCATGAATATTAACTTGTACATTCTAGGATAATACAGGTACTTAAGTTCGTGCCCACGATTGTCTTACGATTATCTAAGCACTCCCTAAATACCTATTTAACAATTATTTTAAAATTTCATTTCAACATTAAGACCACGTTGATGTGCCAGACGTTGACGTGCCAGCCCCAGTTGATGTGCCAATTGACCAGGGAGATAGCAAAGATGACGTCAGCGGTACTGCTATCGGACAGCCCGAACCTCCAAGTGAAAAACCAGAGGCACCTGCTGAGCAGAAGCCAGCACCCAAGGTGAGAATCATAACTTTTTTTTTTTTTTTTTTTTTTGGATTGAAAGTAGTGTGAGAGTTGTAGAGCATGAAGTAGTGTATCCCCAAAGCTACTCTAATTCGGGTACATATTGATATATGTTCAATGGTGACGTCCGCTTAATCAACACGTAGTTAAAAAAACGTCGACTCTGTATAAAATAGAGGCAAAAAGGAGTTGGGCTAATGTCATTTTGAGTACGGAATAACGTACGCGGCACCTCTTCGTTTGCACAATTTTACAGCATGCCATGATAGTTTTGATAAATTCTAACAATGACTATATTTCAGGCAAAGCCTGTTGAAGAGATCCCCACTGTGAAAACTGCTGAGCCAAAGAAGCAGCCTGAATCTAAGGTGGTCCTGGAGGAGAAGACCTCTCCAGCCGCTGAGGAGGAGACCATTAAAGAGGATGTCAAGGGTACAGAACGCACATCTTAATAGTCTTCCTTGAATTTAGATAAAAATTTGTTTAAACCGACAAAATGAATTCACTGAAAAGACTGTTTTTATGTGCTATGCAACTTTACTTTTTAATGACAGCTTTTCAACTGATTTTTTGTTAATTATGATATACTTTATTTTGAAATTAAAATTTACAGGGTATCAATTCGATTTGTGACTCCCTTTTGTTTGATCATGGAAGTATATGTGTAGATATACTTCCATGGTTTGATTAACTCCTATTTGTTATATAATCAACGGTCATTTCATATTTAGAAGACAAGATGGCCGCCGAGAGCCAGCGTGCAGGAGAAGAGCAGGGTGATCACGTGGTTATGACGACATACAGCTGGGCTCACAATCTGGAGTACGCCACCATCATTGCTGTGGTCTGTGTGGTGGCACTTGCCGCCTTGGCGCTGATCATCCTGACAGCCGTGGTAAGTACTGACTCCGACTCAAGAGAGAGGCGGGGAGGGGGGGGGGGGACGAAAGTAAAGCTGAACAAGGTACCCTCTGATTTCAAATAACATCTAGGACTAAGGTTCTGTTCGAATTCTCAAGATGCTTAATTACCTCCCAACCTACATGTACTCAAATATAACACTAACGCAGAGAAGCAGGGGAAATATATGCTGTTAAAAAAGTACCACGGTGAAGTGTTTTCATACAACTCCAGTACATTTCATGTTATAAATCATATTTTTTTCATTTTAATTTGAACCAACATAAAACGTTGTATTAAGATATAGTTTTGATGGTATCTACCTTAAATACATACCTCATGTTTTCTCGTGTCTTATATTTTTAGAAATGCATGAAAAGTGGAAAAGTGAGCAAGAAGGAGAAAGCAATGGAGGTATGTAACCACTCTGCTCTTAGCTCAGATAGTACCTACTGACAAACACACTACATCTCACTACAACCACTATATGATGTACAGAAGGTGAACTGTTCACATTACTCCAATACATTGTTAAAGGGATAATAACTCTTCGTTTTGGCCAAAAAAGGAATTTTCCTAGAGTAAACAACAATTTTCTCGTACTTTCCAATGCTTCATGAATCCATTTTTACATTCAAAATTAGTCCTTGTTTTTTCTAAAACGTTTGGTTTTTTGTTAGATATCAGAATAATAGCTATAACTGCTGTTTTTGTGGTAAAGCAGAATATATTATATTTCTATGAGTTGTTCACAATGTATTTATTGTGAAATATAGATATCATACGAAGAGTTATTATCCCTTTAATGTTCCTTCGTCAATGCTGTATTCCCGCCACTAGCTCTGTATGCCAAGCGTTTTCTTGAGGGATACAAAACTTTGTTAGAGGTACCATATATTGTCCGCTTTTGAAAATGTCCTAAAGTCACTTATATTTCTCAATTAACACCTTAAAATCACAAAAAAATTTCAGATCTGATGTCAATAGTGCCTTGAAATGTACATGGAGATATGGCGGTCAATGACTGGTCAGACATAAAGATTATTTTAATTTTTAAATTATTCAATAAGATATGGTACAAGACAACCCCTCCTTGTGTAGGGACGGGTTAATTAATGATTCTTGAATTTGAGAAAATTGTTTCTTTTTTTTGTCTGGGGGAAGTTCTATTGTAGGGAAAATCATGTATAGGATACGTTTATGAAGGTCCTACGATATTTGTCAAGTGTCTCTTTCTTTCCAGGCCATTCTAAGAGCCCATCTTCACAACGACCTTCCAAAACTAGTCGTGACCTCCGAGGTCGCCCCGGTCCACGAGAAGAAAGAGCCAATCCATTCCAATGAAGAGAAGGAAAAGGAGGCAAACGCATAGATAAACAGCGTTTGAAAATGGCGCCACGCCGCACTGAGTTAGGGGGGAGATTTATATCCACGATTTGCTTATCGACTGTCGATGTTTTTAAAAAAGGAGCATAGGTGGAAGAAGAAACGAAATATACACTTATTTGGATTTACGTAATTTCGGCTGCATTTATCGTTTCAATCATTTTGACATTGATATTTTTTTGGAATAAAACGGTAAATCAAAAGTCTGAACCGGTGATGTCTTTATGTGAAGTCTTTGTGTTTGTACGTCTTGTAAATACGTTTATCTGAAAGCTAATATCCAAATTACGCACATATATATTATCTCTAATGGACATTATAAAGAATAAGATCCAATTCTTATGTAACAAAGGTTGTGATTAAAAACACATTAAATAACTCGTATTTTGCTTTCCATATAAAAAGGAAATAAACAGTCAAAAGTGATTTCATCTTATTTTTTCCATGCATAGCCTACACTATTCACTGTCTATACTGTTTGTTCTATGAAATTTCAATTGGAAATTTTGATTTGATTTGATTTTTAATACTTAAAATGTGAATTATATATTAAATATATAATATACAATAAATACACAGATGACACAAGAAAGCTAAAAACACTGATTTTCAATGTGGTCTAAAAGGGAGCGATCACGTGACTAGAAATAATAAGAGTTTTAGACTACTTATTGAATAAAACATGTTTTATAAAACATAAAAGGCTCAGCCTCTTAACTTCTGAGCCGATCAAGAAAAAATTCTGACTAAACTTAAACTGATATCTACTAATGGCATATTTTATATGCCTGGAAGCACGTTTCACTGGACTATACTCGAGTATAAAAGATGTTTTCACTAAAAAACCACAGAAATGACATGCAGCGCTGGATCTTGTATTAATGTTATGCCATTTGGTCGAAATTGGAGGATACATAATTTGGAGTGTTGCCCTGTGAGCAGTTATAAACCAGATTTAGTTTTAAGTAACACGTACCAGTACACGTTATTCCACATTCAACAAGTCAACCAGTTCCATCTCATAAGCGATGAAATACACTGTATTTAATGGCGGTACAGTTAAATTATTTTGTTTTTTGTAGACTTGGAAATAAACTGGTGATTGTGGACCAAATACGTGTTACATACACTAAATAAATGATTGGTTGTGCGTGTGTGTCCGTGAGCACGCGAGCGCAAGAGAGAAAAAATATTCATATTTAACATTTTATTTGGTCTGCAGTGTTCGTGTACTCTTCGGCTCTGTCACGTGACCTTGACTGAACACTGCGGTATGCAGAGAACATTAGTATGGGACTGGGGTATCTATTTATATGGTAATTTAAAGCACAAGTTTGCTAAAAAAGACTGAGCGGAGGTCAGCGATAACTGTTGTAATACAGGTGCAGCAATAAAGACTAGAAAGAAAATAGGGTAGGTCGTTTATATTTATATTGTCTAAACATTTCAGGATGTGAGGAAAAGTGGTATTTTTGGCTTATAATCAGGGGGACGGAGAGGTCATTGGACAATGGTTTGTGTGAGAGGAAGGGAGGGGATCTAGGGCACCTGATCAGTGGGTATATAAGTAGATTAGCGCACCTGTCTCCTCGGTGGTCTAAATGAGATAATTTGCATATGTTACTTAGAACAAAGTGATTAAAATTCTTGTACTTATTGTAAAAGGAAGTTTGCACATACAAAGATGCCAAAAATGCCCAAGCAATACTAAATCCCAAAGATGATTGTAAACATCAGATTGAAAAAAGTCAAAGTCATCCTAGGAAAGTACTACATATGTAGTAGTCATTCAAGTGTAGTAAATATAGGTCTACAACGATGGCCATTATACGCACCTGTAAAACCGACTTATCAGAGCATTAAAAAGAAAACAACTGTTCATTGTGGCAGGAAAAGTGCCAAATGACGGATATTCCTGTGGTAAACAACGACTTTCTCATACCTTCTTATCGTTAATGAATCCGTTTCGAGAGTCAGAGTTAGACGAGAGATTTTTAGTGTGTTTTTGGTATTTATTTCTTAAGAGATTAGGGTACCCATCTATGAAGGTTCAGGTGTTCCGATGGCAAGATTTCAGAATAATTGTGATTACCACCGCTTTAGTGGTAAAAATGGAGTTTTTAATAGTTTTTTGTGTTCTTCACAATGTTTTTATTGTGGAATTTAGAATCTTATATAAACAGTTGTTATCCCTTTAAGTAGGCTATAACTTTCGGTCTCAATGTTAAGTCTGACTTTTGACTTTAGTTCTTAGATGAAGCCGGGTCCTCCATCCTCACACGCTTCCTTCACTGTAGATGATACATGTAATACGGGAATACTACACTGAAAGTCAAGTTTAAAACAGGTTTAAAACAGGTTTAAAAGGTTTTAAAAATTTTTAAAAAGGCCCCTGGAAACAGTATCCATTACGCAATGAAGGCTGCAGACAGAGAGTACAATAAGATTTGAACAATTTGTATTTTAGCTATTTGTATTTGTGCATCACTGTGCCAAGGCCGTAACCTGGATTTTATTCACCGGTAGGTACACTATGACAGTCCCCGCATTGACGAGTCATTGTGTTGGTGACATGTTAAAGGTGCGCGTCTGTAAAAAGGGATAGATACCGCAGTAAACATATCAGCTTACATTGGGTTAAGTATCTCCCAGCAGGCACCCACTTAATGTTTAATACTTGTTTGTGCAGGCTATAGAACACCCAGTTAAGACCCCTGTTGACCGCGGGAGCGTCCCATACCTGCCATGGAGACAGAGACCAGTGACAGGAAAGGCTTGACCACAGCCACTGGACGTAAGTTTAATGATAATTATATTTATTCTTGCAACTGAAAGTTGGATTGTGCATGTACTGTAAAAGAGTGATAAAAGTGTCATTAAAAACATGAAAGAACAATCCACTGAGTAAAATATTCAATAAATGTGTTACTATAAAATAGATAAATTACATAAAAAAGCATTGGCCAAATATGCTAACGAGACTGTCGGTTTAGACATGGTTCGTTTGGACCAAGAATCGGGCATAATGTGTCGGAATAAGATAGTAGGTGAGACTATATAGTGTCTCAGGCTGTCTGACGGGAAGATTTATTTCAATTCAGGAAAATCCTCATCAGAACACAGTATACAGGTTAACTACTTGCAAATGTTGATATAAAGACCAACAGATAACTAGAACTCACGGGAGTCATGGTATATTATTTACAGCATCAAACTTAGTCTTGTGGATCATCATCATCGTTTGCGCAACAATCGCATTCATCGCACTCATCATCGCCGCTGTTGCGCTCTCAAGACCCGCCACCCCGAGTGTCGTCGTGCAGAGTGCAGGTGACTCCGTCAACGCTGCTGCCGGCTCCCAGACAGGAAGTGACGTCATGAGTTCAACGAAGACGGTGGGCGGGGTTCCCATACGACACGATTTCCCGGGGAGAATATGGACCATCGCCATAGGACATGATTACGGGGCGCATGAGTATATGTAAGAGGGGTGGGGTGTGGGTTTTTGCCAGTAGAGGGGGGCGAGGAGGAGGGAAATGGGGGTTGGAGGGGCCATGCCAGACTTATTTATTTATTTATTTATTTATTTATTTATTTATTATTTTAGTTTTTCCTCTTACACTGTACGTGTTTCTGGATCAAACTATATACACAAGGTACATATATGACGTTTGGAAAAAGTTCTTATTACTTATAACAATCATCAAACGGTGTATTCGTAAATATTTCCCAGAAAAGTTTTTTAAACTTTAGTATGTAATTATAAATATTTCCTTCACTTTGCAGTGATACGTCAGGTGTGTTGGCTGGTTTTCATCATGACCTTATCGCAGCAGGTAAATACATTGGCTCCATAGAGTTTTGATGCGGGAAACTTCCCACTGAGTGATGGTTAGTAGTGTGTTTGATACAAATTTAAATGCAAACTTCCTTTTGCAGCTAAAAACTTAGTGCTTGATTTCTAACGAAGTTCAAGTCACGTATCACGCACTCTAAAATGTAACAATATGACATATATATACCAATGACGTCCAATGCTATTCACTTACAAAATTTCCTTTTATTTTGTCGTCCATTTTCTCTTCATGCTCTGTTTAGGCGACGTCGAAGCTAAGACGAAATTTTAGAAGTCAAGTTGGCTCTATCCCCCCTAAAATTTTGCCCTCTGACAATTCTCTTTTCCAAAAATGCAGTCGCCACTTATAGGCCTCTGTAAGAGACCATTCCCAGACCCTATCATACTAACTTTGGATCGAACTACATGTATCTCCCAGGGGATTCTCGCTTAATTGCAATTAACTGGGGTGGCTTAGATATCTGTCACGCCTGCTGAGGCTGATGGGGGGTCATTAACTATCGTTTAGCAGCTTTAGTGGGCGTCCCAGACGTCTAAGCCGCTTGGGTTGAAAGCAATTTAGCGAAGGACCGATCCGTGGAGATAGACCGATCCTGTTAGATCGATCTAAGGCTGGGAACCCTGTCTAATTGTTTTTTGTTTCCAGTGTGTGGTGCGGCTCAAATGAATTGCTATACCATCTGGGACCCTTACTCCAACTGCTGGATGTCCGAGGCAGGTCAGAGGTCATCTGGTGGGAAGGGTGAGTTCTGAGGTTTAAAGTTTTGGTCAGTGCTCTGGCGTTGATTTTACAGACAGATAAAAATACGAATAAGATGAATCAGCAAAGCACTCAGAGAGCGTAGACCTCCTCCAAAACATCTCAACTCTCATTATAATCTATCATGATCAATTAATTAATTAATTAATTAATATATGGATCTGATCATAAACACCAATTGTTACACATGTGTTACAATTCCAGGTCTCCACGCCAAATGGTATGACGCCTGCACGGGATGGTCAGCGAATATTGACAGAATTGGCACGTTTTCCTTCTCCAACGCCTTCAGCCCCAAATCCAGGTCGTTCTTCTACACCAAACCAGGGTCCAACTTTAATGCCTTGGATATCAGGAACAAGAAGATAGGTGGGTGGTTTTATAGTTTGGTAGAATTAGGCACTTTTCACATCCACCGGGACTCTGAATTGGTATGGACTGGTGTACGTGTTGTTAACGATAGTCCTAGAAATGGAAGTCCGGGATCCCAAATGCTAAGCACAGGTTAGGGTTATCCGGAGTATTGGGGTTAGTACATGGGACGAATATGTCACCTGTACAAAGTAATCGGGAACAGGCTACGGTGCCTAGCGGACTACCATTCCTGACACACCGGACCACTTTGAGAGGTGCTTAATACGTGTTTCCAATAACGTGGCACTACGCTACAGGAGTTCGAGTCCCTCTCTGTTACTTGTTCTCCACACGTTTGCTTTCGCCTGTTTAGTTATGTGGCGAGTATGGGGTGTCTGCTTAGGAGACTCTCTTACAAGATAGTCAGGATGTTAAGTTGTCGATTTTTTAAAGTGGGACAGTCCAGTTAAAGACATCCAGTGTACAATTTAAATCCCTTTCAAAGTGCTTGGGTCGCTCCTCGTTAAATTTGTGTGAGGACAATAAAATTTTTAAAACATAATATGACGGATAAATGGCGTTAATCGTTATCGGAAAAATAATCATATTTGCAGTCCTTTGCCAACCTCTGTATCGGTAGTCAGCCATCTTGACACAATATGAAGATAGTGTCTTTCAAAGCACGAGAGTCTCACGATATCTTGAAGTCTAGGCAATAGAACGAATGGCCTATCTGCAAAAAAAGAAAGCAAGCGCGCGTTTTGATCTTTGGCTTTTTCAGAAATTGTTACCTAGTCATGGCGAGTATCAGGGGAGGAAGGTTGAAGGTCGGTAAATCGGGGGGCCGGTTAGCCCGTTAGATATGAGTTTTGGCGTGAAAGTCAAATTTTATTCTTTGATGAACAGTATCACTTTGTTCTGGAAACTATACTAGTCATCATATCAAGACTTGGTAAGCCTGTGTCGAAAAAAACAAAAGCTTCGACTTCCCTGACGATTTAGCGGAGGTATGATGGAAGGAGGGAGGGAGAAAGGAAGGTCTGACGTCATATTTCAGGTCGAGGCTATACAATGTACTGTACAGTATGTATATCTACACCTGTAACTGCAATGAGTCTCGCCAGAAACCGAGATACTAGATAACTTCAGCTCCGCTATAACTGCTGATTGAAGACACTATATACAGTGTATGACAAAGAAGATGAAAAAACATACTGGACTGTATACAAGTGATAAGAACGTTTCTTGTAACGAAAGACAATAATTTTATACCAACCAGCAGATCTGTATTGACGTGGTTGAAGATTGTCATTGAAGATACCCTATATCGTAAAGCACCAACTCTCATTCCAGCTGTAGATTGAACAGATCATAAACAAAATATCTTTCTCTCCAGGGTTTCTGGACGGTTGGTCGGAAGATGAGAAGTGTGTTGCCAGACAAAGCGCCATACAGGGCAAGATACTGGCCAAGAATCAGATAGTGTATGTGACCGCCATTAAGGATATGCTGGATATAGTCACAAACGGCACTGTAAGTATAGACAAAATTGATTTATTGCCGGCCTCTTTTTTCGTTACTAGATTTGATTATTTGTATATACACGTACATGTATATGTGCTTAATTTCTTTTTTATTACCTGTGAAAAAAATTAGTTTATTGGTCTATTCGTTTGTTTGTTTGTTTGTTTGTTTAATTGAGTAATTTTATTTAGTTATCTGCTTATTCATTTGTCTATCTACCAGTCAAATAAACCAACCGCTTACCTATTTATTTCTTTATGAAAACAACATATTGATAATTAAATCCAGGCACCCACTGAAAGCATGCTGCGCCGTACCGTTTGCTTATCAGCACCTTTATTGTTTTCATCTTTTTCATCTACAAATTACCTTTTGAAGAATACTCTGCTTCTCCTTAGTCTGGAGAAATGCAACATACTGATGTGAATAAGTAAATTCCTTAACCTAGGTAGATGCCCTGTTCGCCGGAGATCACTCATTTGACCGTCACGTTGCCGCCGGAACGCTCGCCAAGTTGACAGGGTCCGAATTTAGCTGTCGTCTGCGAGGAAACTCGATGATGACCAGAAAAGACAGTGCCTTCATCATGCACTGGAACACTGGTTTCCAAAAGATCGTCTCCAGCGGGAAGTTCAAGAAGTTGTGTCAGCGAGCCAATGACACACACGGTATGCTTTCTTTCTTGCTTTCTTTTTCCTTCATTTGTTTTTATTTGTAAGTATGGTTTCCTTCAAATATAATGCGATATATATTCTTCTTGCTGTGACCCTCTCAAGTAAACTAATATACAACCAAACAAATAAACAAATGAAGAGTTAAATAGGCACATTTTAAATAGAGATAAATAGACATGACCATCTTCCACTTATTTCTAAACTCGGTTACATCACACGGCTCGGGCCATCTCTCTCTCTGTCTCTCTCTCTCTCTCTCTCTCTCTCTCTCCAATAAAATCAGTCATCGTACAAACTCTGAAACTCTTTTTAACTTACAGACGATACAATCAGTAAAAGCAAAATCCTCATATCTTGATTATTCTTTTAAATCAGCAGGACTGAGCTTCTAAATTATAACAAAATGAGACAGAGCTCTGTGTGGTTTCTAAGTCGTTTTTCTCTTCGTTTTAGCCTCAGACGAGAGAGGAAGGGTAAAGTGCGTGGACACCTAGAGGCGCGATAAAGTCACTGCTGGTAGCCAACTAATCTGCACAGACTACGAATATAAGTGACTTTTTATGTACAGACACAGGTGTGTCTGTACATATAGCCATCACCTGCGTCTGTCGTCGTCGCCGTCGTCGCCGTCACCGTGCACTTTCACCGATAATACGATAAGTGGAAACCGTTTACCTTTCGGTTTGAAACTTACAGAACTGATGAATATTCATAAAACGCAGGTTGAGTTCGAAAATCAGCATGATCGGGCCATTTTTTCAAAAGGAATGCTGTTTTTTCTCTTATTTTCAGCATATACGCAACAAAAATATCCCAATTCCATTCAAACTTTTAATCTAGCTTTATTAACATGATATAAATAACCCCATTGAGTTTGAGGATTATATGGCACTGTTAATCATCTATAGCTTTAATGTTGGCATTGCACAAAACTAATTTTCTCTTGTAAATTTATTTGCAAAATTAAACACCATTTACCTGCATAATTATCACTGATTCCTAAGTATGTGGCACTGTTAATTTAGACTTCAAAACTGTATCTGGTAGAGAGCTAAACCTATGGGAGTTTACAGGGAAATCTTAACATGTGTGTTTTATGCAATCTTATTTAATGACCACTTGAAACTTAATTGGGTAAGTGACTTAATAGCTCTGAACTAAGCTGGTGATTACCCAAGGGACAATTACAGACTGACCAAACTAAACGTAGTGAATGACAAACTGCAGTGATATTAGTTTATATCCATTTTTGACGCTTTATTACACAATACACAATAACAGGTTTACCATCATTTTTATATAATCAACTAACAATATTGTTAAATGCAGAAAATGTCCAAATAACACTTTCACATGTCTAATTAGTTCAATAATGAGACTGTTAACATGCCTAAGAATCAAATCTGATGAAAAACTATTACATACACAAAAAGCGTAACTTCATCAAAACTGAACTGATCAAGCCGATTTTCAAACTTAACCTGTATTTTAGAAAGATTGATCACTTCAGTTATTTTCAAGACACAAGGCTTATCGGTTTTCCTAGAAATGTGTTATCAGTGTTGTATATATGGCAACAAAAAAACATAACTTTTGTAAAAATGGCCTGAACAAGCTGATACTCGACCTGTATTTTAGTAAGAAAGATCACTTCTGAGAATTTCATGACAACAGGCCGATCTGTTATCCTTGAAATGTGTTATCAATTTTGTGTTTTCTTTTTAATTTTTTTTTCAAACACTAATATTTTCAAGATGTAACTTTTAACTCCCATCTACCTGAATATCTGTACATTTTCTGTATTTCCACATAAGTAATAGTTTCGGTGTTTATATCTTTAAACATTATGTAATAATATTTTATGCACTGTCATCATTTTTCACATAGTGGGATTTTCAATATGTGAATTTGAACTCTCATAGTCCTGACACTGTAATCGTATTGACCGTATTGCCTGATTTGAATGATTAAAATTTAGTGTTGATTGACCGGGCTTTTATAAGCAATATTTATTTTGACATCACAACTAACAAAATGACCTTTTCCGTCATCTTTATTTTCTGCTCTTTGTCTGTACATTTGACAGTTTTGCTGCTTTGTTTTTATTTCCATTCAACAAGCGTCAAGCAATTCATTTGTCTCACAGTGTTTATAATTTATGTCATTTGATGAAGACCTTTGAAGTTGTTTTGAACTACCAGTATATTGCATAGATAGGTATAGCCTGTATGCCACATTAAAGGCATCCAGGTCTAAGCTTTAAGCCTGCTATCAAGCTGGCAAATAGTGTGGAAATATAACGAGCTTTTTTCGCATACATTTCTATTCACTACAGTTTCAGTACACCTATTATTCTTATTCTTTCCTTATAATTTTCGGAAGAATTATAACAGGTATGGATGAAAAGAGTTATCATATCCGATAAAATCCTTTTAAAAATACGGCCTGAGTAATAAGATCTATATGGAAAATATTAAAAGCATATTTTTTAAGCAAAATGTGAACAAATGAACCTTTGCACGTAGAAGTAGCAGGGTTGAATGAAACATGAAAACATCGAGTGATTAACTGAAGTTCGTAAATGATTTCAAGAAGAAAAAAGACATGGTTATCTTCCTGCTGTCCCAAGACGAATCGTGTGCCTTCAGAACGTTCAGAAGGTTAAACTACATGTACATACATCTATAAAAGAGCATCTGCTTTTACGTTTTAACAGACCACTCTAAATTGACAACACTGGTTAAACTAAGGACAAGTGCTCTCTTTGTCAGAAGTTATAGACAAGGATTAAAATAATGCTTTTTTAATGTATTTAGGACTTGTAGATGGATAACTCATTCTGCGTGATTGTCAGAAATACAAAAAAAAAACAGATTCTGTTTCTGGTATTGTATTATTATTATCATTTGTTGAAGTACCACAACAGATGACATATCTACGAGTTTTTAGTCGTCCTTGACATTTATTTTGTAAGGTATTCGGACATACCTGGCTGTGGTTTCACGTGTACGACCAATGATGATGCCTTATTGCGTATACTGCCTTGTGCTATGCCACTGAATGCTATTACAGACCAGAGGCGGATCCAGGATTATTTGAAGGGGGTTTAGCATTTAGAAATGACAGGCCGCGGATGCCAAGCCGACCCTCCCCCACCCCACCCACCCCCTTGGCGTGGGGTTCGAGGCCCGCTGGAAGTATTTTAGAGGGCGAACTGTGCCATATGGTACGGGTTAAAACTATGATTCAGCAGGTCAAAATTATAATTTCAAGTGGGAGCCGTTGGTGTGATTTTTAAGGAAACCAAGGGGGGATCAGGACCCCCTGGCATACCCCCTAAATCCGCCACTGCAGACAGTGCCTTTATAAAGTAGTGTCTTTTTATCCTTTTGTTTTCGTGCAAAACACTACATCCACAAATATTACCAATTTCTCCTACATGCTTGGAGTGAAAGCATTGCGGACACCCTTCAAATATGCAGAACAAAGCTGCTTTGCACCTGCAAACCCCAGTGGCCACGTCATTAATGTACACCTGACCTATTATTTCAGTTTTGTATTATACAAGGTACACAATTCTAACAAACAAAAAGTTTAGTCAACTTTCGTAACTTTGTTTATTGGTCAGTGCTTCAGCCGGCTATATAGAAGGTTTTGCGACAGCCTTCTCAAAGAACTTTGAAATGTAAATTTTATCTCTTTTTTCCAAAATATTCTTTCATTTTAGCAAGAGTAATGAAAAATAAATTCTTATACTGGAACTAACGTTGGAACGAAATTCACGACGTTTTGACCTAATCACAAGTTTTTCTTCAGGTGAACTAATCTGGAGTTGTCACCGGTGTCATGTGGTGACAGTCTGTGCGGGATGTCTCCCGGAACCCCCTCACTTTGATATATACGAATTATGTCCACAAGCAGATCGCTGTAATGACTCGTTCACTTAACAACAAACACAACTCAACAAAGACTACTTTCAGAACTGATCTAACGTAAAGACGCCTTAATGACGTAGACCAGATACCATAGAGACACACAATAAAACCTGAGTAATACTTACTGGTGACGGCAGTTGGTTAATTTCCGATTTAAGTTGCATTAAGTCTGAACGTGCCAACAGACAACCAGAATATTCGCAGGAAATTTGTTTTTCCTCGTTCTTTTCATGTTTGATATCACAGTGAAACAAAAGGGTTTGATTTCTGATGTTGATCTTTTGAAGATTTCTAATACGACTACTTTCGTCTCACTTCCGGTAGACTTGTGTTCAGCAGTTTTCGCAGCTCCACTCTCGACATTCTGAAGCTTTTCTCACCGGTAAGTTTCTGGTTATTTGAAAGGTAAGCCTTTGTATTTTACGGTCACTGTCTCAAATATGTTATTGGTATATTAAGTGTAAAAAAAAACAACAGAAAACGTGAGTTTTCAGAGTGAATTCAACCATCGGATCCGGATTTTGAGATTATTTTAGATGATTTTTCCATTCTCTGTCGTAGCTGATTTTATTCCAAGACAAATTATATAAAATTTAGAAAAGTACATGTAGTTTGGGTCGTTTTTTTCTTGCGGTTGTTGGGCGTAAAGATTTAAGGCGTAGAACAGTGCATATTCTGTATATGTACTGTCTTGCATGGCAATGCATAGCCTAGGAATACTGCACATGAAATATTTTCATTGTTTTTGAAGATTGTTTGACATCCATTTGAGAGCACATGTGCATTGTAAACATTTTCTTTTTTAATTCATATCTGGATATTCTAACTTTTATTATCATGATTTTGTAAAACTCAGCTGTCGAAAAAAAACAGCTTTCAAAATATTTGGTCTTTCCTTCTAAAATAACAGTCTTAACGGTACACTTGAACAGCGTCCAATTGTTGGAAAATTTTAGACGATGGCTGGCTATTTCGTCACCTTACTTGCCGTTGCCATGGTGACAGTGACTGTGGTTAAAGAAACCCAGGCAGTGTGCTGTAAAGCGGTTGAGATCGGCTGGTGTTCGGACTGTACAAAGGTTAGAAAAAATTCATTGACCTTTTGTCGTCTAGTCGTCCAAGATCCACATTCAAAGTGAGTCCCTTTTTTTTTTCTTTGGTTTTATGTTATAATCTCTTAAAAGATGGTTTCAGAGTATAGCCATCTGTGGAGGTCACGTGGTCTGATGACAAGCTCAGATGTCAGAATAATATCTATAACTGCCGTTTTTGTGGTAAAATATATTTTAATATATTATTAAATATATTTTAGAATATATTTTATTCCTATGAGTTGTTTACGATGTTTTAATTGTGAAATATAGATCTCATACGAAGAGTTATTATCCCTTTAAACTTTGTAACTATTTCAACGCACTCACCTTCCACCGCTAACGTGATTATTGTAAGCAAACAGTGGTAAAATTTGTGCCCATTGATTTTGTGTCTGAAATCTGTCTTTTCACCATCAAATAACTATATCGGCATTACTTTGAATATCACTTTGAACAGATTTTTGTTTAGTCATCGTTAGTAATACCCCCTTTACACTGGACGGCGTCCTTTCTGCGTCCCGTAGTACCGCCTTGTTTGAGAGAAAAAAAAACAATAACACTTTACGTGCCCACAAGAGGCCAATCATTGAACACTAATTTTGCAACCAAAGCGATGTTTGTGCCTCCTTTTTCAAGACCACAACGATGCCAGTTTCATGGGCGCACCCAGAACGCAGTAAGGACGCCGCCCAGTGTAAAGGATTTTAAAATACACATTTGAAACGTTACCAAGTCAAAGCTACCGGTGTGAGGTGAATGGTAGTCCGCTTGAAAAACGACACTAGTTTCTGGTTGCCAGGTTCATTTTTGAAAAACGGAACTTGAAACTAGAAGCCAGACACTTACTTCAGCGCCCCACCTGTGCGAATCATATGGGAACCCGTACTGCCATTAGCCATTCATGTGTACCTGTATATTAGTCTGGGTGACTGGTGCTATATCTTGGCCAAATTGGAAAAAATGTGGAAAAAGCATGAAACTTGGCACAAATGTTCTTTGGACTATGCTGATCATTTTCAAGGCAGTGCCCAAAATTTCAAAGCTTTGCTTAGCAACCGTTGCTATGGAAGTGAATTTCCTTAGTAACAAGCTAATTAGACCTCTCTTGTCCAGTTTAAATGGTTAAGAAATGCTAATAACTATATTTCAGGGCATCAGTACTATCACTCTAAGGCAATTAAGGCAATTAAAACCCAAATTAACCTTAGGCACAGTTGCTAGGTAGCATATTACCCTAGCAACAAGCATTTAAAGTTGCGTTAGTCTATCAAGTAAGATATTTATAGACTTGACATTTAATATGGAATATTTTAGTTTCGAAGGTATGCCTAGGTGAAAATGCGTTCTTTTTTCAAAGAAATCCGATCTCATATAAAATATGTGAATGAAGAAGTGTGTAATCAGGTGTGTAGCTACTAATGAACTGACTACCATGTCTATTGCACTGCTGTATTGTGTATTATGCAATGATTTAATTGGGTAGTGCCCCTTTGGACTGGTCCATGCTTGGGTGTGCCAAAACATGGTTCTGTCAAAAAGTATCCATATGTCGGCAACTGTTGCATAAAAAATTTGAAATTTTGCATGCAA